TTAATAGCAAAGATTGCATCCTCAGAAGAAAGGTTTGTGTATTTGCTCATTTTTCTTTGTGTTGCTTCCACCTTCACTCAAGAGCAGCGCTATTGTATCTGTCGCTTGGATTCTGGCAAAGTTACCAGTCTTCTTGATATGATATCTTCGCTATTAGTCAGTTATAGCGAATCAAATATTTTGTAAAATATCAAATAAAAGAATTATTGGATTGGTATTATCAGACCAAATTATGACTTTTTGGCATCAAATAAAGCAATTTCCATGCGTCAGTTACTAAAATGACTAACTTTTTTATTGGTTCGTTATTCGTCGAACATTTAGGTATTTTTTTTTTTTTTTCCTTTGGTTTGTTTTTTCCGTCGATCTTATTTTCCGTGCTGAGCACCAATGCTACCGACGTGCCAGGAAGGCAGCTCCCACACCTGGACCCTACCTATCGACCCATCAACTCATGAACCGGGACCAACGGCTTTACTTCCCATCCGAAGGAAGGCGTGATCAGAGATGTTATGCCTCAGAACATCCCGGCGGCGCCGACTGGGATTGAACCAAGGCCTGCTGGGGTGAGAGGTAATCACGCTTACCACTACACCACCGGCGCCGTTGGGTATTATTTTTGGTACTTTACCTTTTATGTAAGGCTCGTCAATACCATATTTAGGGTTTCAGTTATGCTATTTTCATTCCTGAATTTGGTATGCATAATTTATTTTCTTACGAATCATTAAATCACGGATTAAGACTCTTTGAAAACAAAATTGGCATGTTTGTTTTCCCTATTTCGGGGACATAATACCACCGCGACCATTAATTTGATCTTTTTATTTATGCCATAACGTAGTGGTAAGCCAATATTGTTTGAGTAATTACCACTACTGTTGTAAGGAATTATCCCAACCAGGTAAAACAACCCTTATGAAATTTATTACCTGTTTGGGAGCAGCAGCCCAGATTTCCCAAGGTCTCATCAGACCCTTATCAAGATATCTGCATCGTTTATGAATCAGTGCAACACAGTCACACAGCAAATGTTCAGAGCTTTCCCTCTTTAAGTTACAAAAGCGACATTTATCTTCATAAATTATACCAGTGATTTTCTGGTGATATTTACAAGGACAGTGTCCTGTTATCAAACTAGCGTATGTACTCAAATCTTTTTTAGAAAGATTAAGTTATTTTTGTGTGTATAATGCGTTCGGCTTTATAAAACCGTTTAGATTGCCAAGAATTGAAGGTACTGGTCCAGTTGTACCGTACCTTTGTTTTTTCCTACGTCAAGGACTACGTCTGTGACGCATAAAAAACAATGCTTTCAACTGATGATTTTCAACAAGAAACTATTGAAAAAGTGGTAGTGTCAAGCATTGTCGAATACACATATAAAAAGTTATAATTTTATCACTGTTTTCATGAAATAAACGTTCTTCCCAAACCCACTCGTCATAATCGAGTACCACTTGGTTGCACATCATGCTGCTTTAACCTGAAAAGATATAAAAGAGCACTGCTGTCTAGCCTCAACTCATACCGGTTCCCACTTCGTTGTTGGAGGAGTTCTGAATGCTCACCATGAGGCCTGGTGGAACTACCAGCAGAACCAGAACGGTCATCTGCTGTTCGACCATTCGCAGCATGGGCTGTACTCCGTTTGGTTCTCGGGCGAGCCAACATTCATCTCACCGGCGGGCAACCCATCGACGCTAGACCTGTTTCTAACAAATACCGGCTTGTCCAAGCCGGTAGCCTTGAACGAACTCAGCTCCGACCATCAATCGGTGGTGGCTGAACTGGGCTACAACGTAGCCCCTGCTCCAAGCCTGCGCAAGGACTACCATCACGTAAACTGGGCTGAGTTTGGACGCGTGGTAGACAGGCACATCATCAACAACCCGCTGCTTGACTCTGTCGAGGACATCGACCGAGCGTTGGAGGGACTCCACCAAGCCATAACCGTGACTGAAGAGGCGTGCGTCCGACGAGTTCCTGTGAGGGGTAAGTTTATTGCCATTGATACCCACACCCAACTCTTGATTCGCCTGAGAAATGTTCGTAGACGCCAGTTCCAAAGAACCGGAGATCTAGCGAGGAAACGTGAAATGGCCGATCTGAACAAGGAGATTGCAGAATGAATGGTCTCACTCCGGAACGAAAGTTTCGGGCGGCTCGTCTGCACTCGGCTCGAATCTGCACGACCGCTCCAGACCATTCTGGAAAGTTGCCAGGGTCCTAAAGACGTACCCCAAACCCATTCCACCACTTAAAGATGAATATGATGACGAACGGCTCATAATCACCCCTCAGGAGAAAGCAAATGCGATTGGTGAGCATATTTCCAAATCGCATTTGCTTGGCTCCAACATCCAAAGTCCGCTCGAAGCTCAAGTTGAGCAATGCGTTCAAAATCTAGATGCCTCCTCTTGTGTCGTGCCTCCGGTGGATATGATTACAGCACAACAGATTTGCTCAGCGCTGAAATGCACCAAGAACATGAAGGCTCCCGGGTTTGACGGTATATTCAACTTGATCTTGAAGAGACTCAGCATGAAAGTGCAGTCTCTTCTAACCGCTACCTTCAACATATGCTTGGAACTGCACTACTTTCCAAGCGTCTGGATAGTAGCAAAAATCATACCAATCCGCAAGCCCGGCTAAGATTCAACATTGCCTTCAAGCTACAGACCAATCAGCCTCCTTTCAACGCGGAGAAAATTGTTCGAGAAATTCATTCTTAATCATTTGCTCAAATTTTTCGAGGAAAACAACATTCTCCTTGCGTAACAGTTCGGGTTCAGAAATCACCAATCACCAGCTAGTATGGGTGATGAATAACATCCGAAGTAACAAAGCTGAATCCAAGTCCACAGCCATGGCCTTGCTAGACGTTGAAAAGGCGTTTGACAATGTTTGGCATGACGGACTTGTGTACAAGCTTTGTAACTTCAACTTCCCATTACATTTTGTTAAAATCACCCGTGACTACCTCCAGCAAAGGTCGTTCAAGGTATCGTTGAATAGCTGCCTTTCAAACACGTTCTCCATCCCAGCAGGTGTTCCGCAATGAAGTCTGTTGGGCCCTTTGCTTTACAGCATCTACACTTCAGACGTTCCTCCACCTCGGAGACGGTTGCGTGTTCTTCCTGTTCGCAGATGATACCGCAATAACCGTCAAGGGTAGGATGCCTCGCGAAATAACAAACAAGCTCCAACGATGTCTTGACGCCTTTGCTGATTATGCCACCACGTGGAAAATCAAAATCAATGCCGCCAAGACACAAACGATCATGTTCCTCCACAGGCAATCCCCCAAACTAAAACCAGCTCCATCTTGTACTGTAATCATCGATGGCACAAGGGTTGAGTGGTCCGCCGAAGTTACATATCTCGGGATGTTGTTTGATGAAAAGCTCCATAGCTCCATAGCTCCATAGTCAAGTGCCCCGCCTTGGTTAAGTGTCGCTGATTTGCCGCAGATCCCGCCTCTCAAGGGTGAACAAACTGGCTGTCTACAAACAAATTATAGCACCTGCAATCCTCTACGCAGCTCCGGTGTGGGAATCATGTGCACAGACTCACAGGAACAAAATCCAGGTCGCTCAGAACAGAGTGCTTAGGATGATCCTTGATCGTCCCTTTGACACAAGAATTTCAGACCTCCACCAAGAGGCGAACATTCCAAAGTTAGTTTTCAAAATTGATGACATTAAGACTAGGTTTATGCAGAAATGAAATACATCAGAACATGCTTTGATAAGGTGGTGATCAGGCAGTAGAAGTAGTAGTAGCAGCAGTAGGAAGGTGGTGGCAGGTTAGGTAGGCCACTCTTCTACCCAACAAGCAACAATGACTGGTCGTGGCAAAGGAGGAAAAGGTTTTGGTAGAGGAGGCGCCAAGCGTCAACGCAAGGTTCTTCGTGATAACCGCCATCCGTCGTCTCGCCCACCGTGGCGGTGTCAAACGTATATCCGGTCTAATCTACGAGGAAACCCGAAGTGTGGTGAAGGTGTTCCTGAAAAATGTGATCCATGATGCTGTCACCTACTCTGAACACGCCAAGCGTAAGCGGCCATGGAAGTCGTCTACGCTTTGAAGCCACAGAGACGCACTCTGTAAGGCTTCGGAGGTTAAATCATCACCAACTTTGGCAACCAAACGGCCCTTTTCAGGGCCGACAAGCTTATTACAGCAAAGAGTGTGTCTGTTTGTCCACATTCAGAACCACACGCCCCCAACCAGCACTCAAAATGCTCTCCAGAGTTGTAATCTTGTAACCAAACTTGAAAGCAGGGTGATTTTGATCGATTCTCTTCATCAACTTTCTCTTTGAAAAAAATACTAAAAATTTGGTACGCGTTCAAAAACGGAAAGAGTTAAGATAATAGATAATCGATCAATTAAAAGAACTAAATGCTCTTCACATTTGTTCCATCCTCTAGCGGTCCTACGTTAAGCCTTCGTTCGTGCCTCTAGGCACATACCCTTCTACTTATTTCATGATTATTCCTTTATGTCACATCAGAAATAAAGTCTCAATAGAGTGTTCAACTGTGATTAATGAAGTAAAACATCTAAAAAATATAATTATTAATTATTATTATTAATTAAAGTGAATTCTTTCCATTCCTTTGCGATATATGCTGTTAAAAGCATAATTTGCTGTCGATGATTTTATCAACTGTGTCATGTTTTGCACAATATGCAATTTTTTAAAGGAATTAGTAGGTCAATAGGGGAAAAGGATGTAATGTCGGCCTAAATGTTCCTAATTTGGGCCCATACATAAATTCATCAATCGACTAAATTTTCAATAGTGACCAATCTTAGATCCATAGGCCAACATTAGAGCCATTTCCCAGAGCCATTATTTCTGAATCCTCTAGTTGAAAACACACACAATCCGTTACCCGGAAAATGCATCATTTTACCCCAGGGGTGCATTATGAGCTGTTCTCCCTTACTAGGTGCAAGTGCTAACGATAATTGGTGCTGCCTATACTTACGATCTGAACCTCTGTCATGTACTTTTTCCACCAAAGGTACTTCTGATATCGGGGTCCCATCGCCGACAGCATATAGTAGAAGTACATCAGCACGTGCACAAAGTTGTTGATGATGTTCGGGAAGGTCGCGTTGCCACCTAGAAGAGTAAAACAAAACAAAATGCCAATTTGTTTGTTAATCTGCCACTGAACTTGTCACAATTGGATCTACAGCTCGCGGCCATATGCAGTTCATCAGAAGTGCCAACTTCACACATCGGGCAAAACCAACTAAATAGTACTGAACAGTTCTAGGAACAAAGTCACACAACAGGATGTGCAAAACAACACCACATTCAAAATCACAAATTCCCCCGCAGAGCTCAGCTGGTGCAAACGTGGTGACTTACCGGCAATGAACTTGGTCAAAATCCACGCCTCCATCGGTGTCAGCGAGTGGTGGTACACGTGCAAATCGGTGATCTGGGACTGTTTCTTCCGGAGCACGAAAAATATCGTGTCAGCGAACTCGGATAGCTTCGAGAGGTAGTACACGTAGCACAGGTTGAACATCTGGTCCCAGAAGGAAAGAGAAACGGAAGGATGAACTCAACGAATTTCCCTCACCCGCAGAGCATCTATATCTTACCCGTCGGGATTGCGGTCCATCGTCGTAGTCAACCGTTTGGCACGTAAGGCTATATCCCTGCAGCCAGCCCGCCATCAGGTGCTGTAAAGTTAAAGCATACATCGATATTAGCGAAGGGAGAATTCCTGACGACGCGTGTGATAAAATTAAATCGATTTACAACGGCAAACGATCGGCTGGTTCATACCTCGTAGAACATGTACCCGCTGAGTAGCACCTGGAACATGTTGTAGAAGATGATAATTCGTCGCAGGTCCATCGGTTTCCGGTCTCGCATGTACAGGGGGCCAAGCCAGAGCACGAATAGCAGGTAGGAGATCATCATTCCCAGCGTGGGAAGCGGGTCGAACATGAAGGGGAGGTTTCTGGCGCGGGGATCTGCAAAGGAAGCATGATTGGTGGGGTTAGGCTTGAGTAACAATTTCTGGAATCGGATAACTTCATCAACAACAAAACTTCATTTCATTCGCACAGCTTGATCATCAGTTCAATGAATCGAGCTGTTCGTTATGCCCCGAGAAATATTTCAACGCACGCTTGAGAGTATCTAATTGCACGCAAGTTTTTGCCATAAGCAACATTCCACACAAGACTAAGGCACTCTGGTAAAAGTATGGACGACTGTCAGAACAAAACTAAAAAAAAAAGTTGTTCCAATCGAGGAAAACAGTGCATTTTGACGGTTCAAATGGAACAACTTTTGACATACGTCCATAACTTTACTAAGAGGTCTTGTGTAAAACATTTTCAAACAGCTGCAGCAACCTAGCAAAAGATTAAAGAGCCTGAATTTATAATTGGAACAATCGATTATCTGTCAAAGTCATGGGAAAAGTTCCAAATAACATTTTAAGTTTTATGAAGTAATAAAAAACAACATTCATAAAACCCTGGTCAAGGCTACTTTGACATTGATGCATCCACCAAAACCTCATTAAGACTAGAATATGTCTAGTTGGCCCATCCTGGAGAAGGTTCTGCAGGGTATGTTTTTGAAGTTCTTCTAGATTGAAAAAGGTAGATGACGAACGTATTTAGAACCATTTGAAACCCGTATATAAGCTATAATAAAAGCTATTTGGCAACAACAAAACCCTTTTAAAGCCATTTGCGCTAGCCGCTTGCTCAATCCACTATAAAAATCATCAATCAAGATAGAAATGGATTCATAAATACCATCCGATCTTAACAAAATAATTGAAATGTAATCTGATCATATAAACATCCTATTCAATTTCCAAAATTATTAAAATTGGTCTCATAAAGTGGCCTAGTTGTAGTTGCCATATTACGTCGATTTTGCTTATTATTTTTAATTGAGAAAAAATTAGTTATTCTTCAGATCAATTATTAAGCTCAGCCGAGATATTTTTTTATGATTATCGTATTTCAAATATCTGCTCATTGCTAAATTGACCAAAATAAGTTATATCCAAGTTATATCAAAAAAAATAATTGTAGCATGGCGGTGGCTTAAAAGTTGGTTTTCATGTTTTGCTTTAATGAAATCCCTAACAAATTCATAAGGTTTTTTAAATGACCGTTATGAAGAAATTTCCTGACTGAGTTGTATTTATAGCCATTTTGCTTGATCCTAACCCGTTTAGATTTATGGCAGCATTTATGGAGGCAAATTTGCCTGCAAAAAGTTAAATGTCAAAGTTTGTTTATCTTTCGATAGTTGCGTTGTTCGATCATTGCAACGAGGCTTTTTTCCCGCTGCTGGATTGGCAGCAGTTACTAAGGAAGTGTGCGGAACTGTTTTGCGACATTTCGCACATATAATGGCTGGAAGCTCAGTCGTTCCCGTAAAAGATCCTCTTCTTCCGGATGATTCCCAAAGTGCACCACCAAACGATGCAGTTGAAATTAAGTACGCTTGAATGAATTTTCGAACCTTTCGCTGAATAAAATTACTGCTGTGAATCGGAAACCAGCCAATCTCCACTTACTGACAGTTTCTGTGGTTTGCTGCAGGAACAAATGCAAATTATTTCGTTCGTCCGATCTAGAGAAGACTGGTCTGTTTTTAGACTGTTTCATAAAGGAGACGGTCAACACCGGTCGGAACGTGATGCAAACGCCAGATGCTCAGTCGTTGCTGAAATGACTTCCCTTCGGTCGTTAACATCCTACTTCGTCTATTCTTAGAGACTTCCTTGTCATAAATTTTGCTTTTATTCACTATGAGGATCCAATTGAATTTGGAAACAGAGTAATTGGGGATGCTCTCATTTAAAACCGAATGGTTTTATGGTTTGCTTTTATAATGATAGAACAACTTAATAGAGTATTTTATCAAGGCATTAATAAACAATTGCTAATGAAGTTTATGATTGATTTACAGAACAGTTTTATGGAGGGATTGAGAGCTGCTTTATTTTTTTGTTTAACAAGGAAGATTAAAATAAAAGGTTTTGAAAACAGCAATAAGCTGAACGTTTTACACTTTGAAATGCTGTATTTAAACTAAATTAATTGTTCATTTCCGTTATATAACCATCATAAATCAGAGGGGATGCCAAGTAGCTGCTGAATTGTTACTTGGGGTTATTCCAATCGAGCAGGAGACCAGTCAAATGGACAAGATGTCGTCTTTATAAATTCAGGCTCTTTAGTACATACCTATTGCTCTATTGGAATCGCGTTTGACGGTTCGATTGGAACTTTTGGTTTCAGCCTTCGCTCGGATCTTATTTTACATTGTCTCTGGTTAAGGTTCAATTTACTTTGATGCATTTTTTAAAAATTCAAAAGCAGTTTGTTTCGACGCATTATTTTAGATTGCAAAAAGCTCGCGTCATTTTGTGTAAAATATCAAAAGCAATCGAATAGTGCGAGCTTTTTGCAATCTGAAATAATGCGTCGGAAAAACCGGCTTTTGAAATTTTCCAAAAAGCATCAAAGTAAATTGAACCATAACGACCATATATGACACCGGTCAACGGAATACCGTGGCAGTACAGAGGACGAGAACATGCGACCGCGGGCCCCGCGGATCTAAACGTGGATGAACTGACAGAAACGTTAGTGAGAGCATGTGACACGACCATGCCGAGGGAACTGGAGCCAAACAACAGACGACGTCCAGCTTACTGGTGGATCGAGGCACTTAGCAACCTCCGCGCTAATTGTCTCAGAGCCAGAAGACGTTTTCAGAGAGCAAGAACAAAAGCAGACGGAGAGGAACGAATAGGAGTGTTTCGAGCGGCTGCTCTTAAGGTTCAATTTACTTTGATGCTTTTTAGAAAATTTCAAAAGCAGTTTTTTCCGACGCATTATTTCAGATTGCAAAAAGCTCGCACTATTCGATTCCTTTTGATATTTTACACAACATGACGCGAGCTTTTTGCAATCTAAAATAATGCGTCGAAAAAAACTGCTTTTGAAATTTTCTAAAAAGCATCAAAGTAAATTGAACCGAGAGATAAAGCAGAGCAAGTCAAACTGTTTTAAGGAGCTGATGCCAACCCCTGGGGTGAACGGCACCGATGGTGTAGTGGTAAGCGTGATTACTTCTCACCCCAGCAGGCCTGGGTTCAATCCCAGTCGGCGCCGCCGGGATGTTCTGAGGCATAACACCTCTGATCACGCCTTCCTTCGGATGGGAAGTAAAGCCGTTGGTCCCCGGTTCATGAGTTGATGGGTCGATAGGTAGGGTTCAGGTGTGGGAGCTGCCTTCCTGGCATTGGTAGCATTGGTGCTCAGCACGGAAAACAAGATCGACGGAAAAAAACAAACCAAAGGAAAAAAAAAAACCCTGGGGCGATGCATACCGGGTCATGATGGCGAAGATCAGAGTGCCCAGAGAAGCTGAAAGTCATTGTGGAAGGACTTTTTTCCAAAAAGACCTGGCCACCTACACCGTACGGAGAGGGAGTGGGATATATCGTCGAAGTCACCAACGAGGAACTCGTAGCAGTGGTGAAAGGATTGAAGGTGAAGAAAGCTCCCAGTCCGGATGAAATCCCCAACGTGGCGTTAAAAGCGACGGTTCAGGTGTCCCCGGATATGTTCATGATGGTGCTAAAGAAATGCCTGGACGAGGATCACTTCCCTAACAGGTGGAAGATACAGAATAGACCTGTTCATTTTAACAAAAATGTTCGGGATGCACCGGGTCAACCGTGATTACGTTTGTCATGTTAATTTGAACTTCTCTGCATGTTTTCAGCAAAATCGGTGATTATTTAGAGGTGCTTCAAGTTAATTTTATGTTTTTAGTAATTTACAGCTTATAATATTTTTATCTCGAGACTGAAACAACGAAAACTGCTGAAACAACTTTCATAGTGAAGCTTAATGTGTAATCTACCAACTTTGCAACTACAGGTTGACTATTCAAAGTGATTTTATTGAAGTTTGACTTAGTTTCAATCTCGAAGATACCGTGCCGATTCAAATTTCGGACACTTAAACTCGAATTTCGGACACTTTTAAAAGTTGATTATCTCGATCGAATATGATCCACATGTCTTGTAAATTTTAAATTTTTTTGACTAGTGCCCTCCACGATCATCTAACATTATTACTTTGTTTCTAACTGGATGTAATATTTAATTAAAAATGAAAGTGTCCGAAATTTGAATCGTCCGAAATTTGAATCGGAACGGTACCTTAAAAAGTGAAGAATTTTAAAATATTTGTTCTACGAACTTTACTTACTTTACGAATATGATATAAAAATGTGTAATCTACGGCATAATGTTCCTTAAACTGTTCTAGAAATTTCTTTCAACCATAGTTTTCGTGTAGATTCCATAGATTGAGAGATACAAATCAGAAAAGAGGCCGTTATAGCTAAAATTCACAAGACAACTTTTTTCCTTTATTTAACGTCGGTCTCTGTTCCGCAATCTAGTGCCAATCACCGACGGACATCGATTGCCATCCATTGACGGCAATCGAATGTGCAGAAAGGCAGCTTCCACAGCTGCGTAGGATATCGCACCCATTCACAACACACATGGACCGGGACCAACGGCTTTATTTCCCTTCCAAAGGAAGACGTGACCAGAGATTTTTATGCCTCAGAAAAATCCCACCGACCTCGGCTGGGATTGAACCCAGACCCATCGGGGTGTTAGAAAGCAGTCACGCTTACCACTACACCGCCGGCACCGGCTTCACAAGACAGCAGAGCCAATAAAAGTTTCGATGAGATTGACAGAAAATAGTTGCATTGCGTTTCAATGACGACCGATGATTTTTTTTTAGAAACATGAATCCTTAGTAGACGTGTTGTTATCAAAGGCAAGTGTCACTCGAGTCATCCAAAATGCTCATTTTTTTTTTATAAATTGCTGTTATTTTATGAGCAACTATAGTGCAACTCTGGGGTACAGATTTTTGTTCTTTACGATGGTAGTGAAAAAATA